GGACCCCCTGTCGGGAGGCACAAGGAAACACCACCAGTAATGAGGTCTCAGGCTGGGCTCTGCAGAGCCCCTCCCCACCCACCTCCCAGGCATGACTCCCCAAGCAGATAAACCAGGGGCTCATGGCTCCACTTGGACTTTAGCTTCAGTCTGGGAGATGGAGATGGGAGATAAGGAGGCAAACATGGGGTGGGAGCAGGGCGGGGGGGCTCCCTGATCTGGGACCAGGTAGGGGCAGCAGGTATCTGATATTGCCCACCCCCATTGACCTGGGAGTCCAGCAACAGGTGGCTGGGTCACGTGCCTACAGAATCAGACAAGGGTACACTTCAACCCCAGTCTGACGCCAGGGGAGGTAGGGGTCATGGGGATAATTCCCTCCAGTCCCCCACCCCTCACTGAGCCCCACCTGTGCAGGTCCTTATCCAACCTGGTGCCATCCCCGCCCCACTCCTCCAGGTTCCTTCCCCCAGGACCTAGTCTCCTTGTCACTACACTCAAGACCTCTGAGTGATGGGACACCTAGGACTGGAGTCCAACAGAGCTAGATGGACCCGACTTGGTGCTGCCTTGCTGACCTCCCTTCCACCACTGCACACTGCGGCTGCCACCAGCCCCTCCTCACAGGGACCACAGCGACCGCCCACGCCCCAGAGCGCGTCCCCACACTGCAAGTCCGGAAACAGAGGTGCAACCCACCCCAGAGACCTCCCAGGAACACTCTGGCACCAGAGCCCGCCTCCTGGTCAGCCTCACCGCCAAGCTGTCCCTTCTGTGCCCTTCCCGCTCAGGGTATCGTCTCCCTGAACTTGTTGCTTTCCTCCACCGGCCTCAATCCCCCCAGGCCACCATGAGTTCCCAAATTGCCCCTGGACACCCTCTGGTATCATTCCTCCAGTCGCCAGCAGCTTCCCTCCCGGTGTTTCCTGGGAAGCCTGCAGCCACGCCTCCTCCTCCGTCCCGTGCCTCCAGACCCCTCCCGCCCTGTCCCCTGTCTCCGAAGCTGCCCCCATCTCCGACACGCGCTCCCCTACGCCTCGCGTGTGCTGAGCCCTCGGGAAAGCTCTCCCGAGAAGACCTGCGGAGAGGGCCGAGGCCCCGCAGGCTGACGGGCCACAGCGTACCCACGCCGCTGCCGGGAGGCCTGGGCCGCTACCCAGAGCCTGCCGGGCGCAGGAATGGCGGTGTGTCGGGGCGCGCGCGGCGGGGCCGCGGATGGCGGAAGCTCCGCCCGGCGTCCCAGGCCCTCGCCTTTCTGAGCAGGTGTTTTGCTTCCAGGGAGGCCGCAGGCCTCGGATCTGGGCCTGGGGCGTAGAGAGGGGTCCCCACTGCTCGCTGCGTCCGCCCGCCCTGCTCGCCCCAGCGCGGGAAGGTCACCGAAAACCCCTGCGCACGTCGGGAGGAGCGGGAGGGGCGGCCTTGCCCTCCGCCCTTCTCCCGCCTCCAAGGTCCTAGGAGCTGGAACGCGGCCGAGCTCTGGCCTTCGGGCGACGCCGGCGGCCGGCGGCTCCGCGGTACTTCCAGCGGGACCACTCGCAGTGGCCCCAACTTTCCTCGGGTGGAGGAGCGCCGTGGCCCTCGGCCCTAGGTCTGGGTCTAAGTACCCGAGGGTCGGAGGTCTCCGCTCTCCCCCGTGGTCTGCTCACCTGCTGCCAAGATCCGGGGTTCGCGCGGCTCACCTGGGCCAGGTGCACAGCGGCAAAGGCCCGGGCGGCGGCGGCGGCAGGTGCAGCTCCGCCCCGCGGCCTGGGCGGAGGGCGGACTCTGGCGCTCCCGCTTTACGCCGGAGGCTGGAGCTCGGGAGCGTCCAGCGCGCAGCCCCCGGCAGCCTCGGCCGCCCGGGCCTGGGGCTCTCCGAGAGCGGGACTCCGCGGAGAGTCCGCCTGGCGTAGGCTCGCGGCTCTGCCCCTCCTCCCCAGCTCTTCCTTTCCCTCAGGTGGCCTCCTTTGAGCAGCCCCACCCTGGACCGACATCTTCCCTGGCCACCCCTAAACCTCAGGGACGGGGAAGGTGGGACCTCGGTAAGACACCCTCCCTTGGAAGCGGGGGCGGCCAGGAGGCCTGAGGCCCCTCATTCCACAGGCTCCTGCAGGACCTGTTTCCCATTTAGCCCTGAGGGCAGTCCACCCAAGACCCCACCTCCACACCACCAAGGCCTAACAATTGACACAAACAAGTCTTATAGAATCTTCTGGGGAGGAGGGCAATCAGGCTTGTCCCAGGAGAAGTGGTGGTGGAGGGAGGGCAGCGGACCAGCCACCATGGGGCGAGAGGCCAGATACGGACCCAGGAATCGGAGGGAGGCCCTGCTTGAATCCTTTATTAGGGAAGCTTGGCTCATTCCCCTCGCCCCCTCCCTAATTTATGGAGCCCCTCCAGTCCCAAGTGCTGGGTGAAGACATTCATCCCCTGACTCCCAGATGGAAGAGACACATGTGCTGTTTACTGCCCTGCCAAAACAGTGGGATCTCACAGGACCCCCAGTTACAGGTGCCTCCTAGGGACCCCTAAATACACAAGTCTCCAGAGACGTGCACAGGCCTTCTCTCTCTCTCTCTCTCTCTCTCTCTCTCTCTCTCTCTCTCACACACACACACACAAACACACACACACACACCAGCACATGTAGCCTGGGGTGTTAGCTCTGACTCTCAGCTCCCGGCTGTGGAGGAGAGCACTACACGCTGGTCATCCTGGGGCAGGAGCTGGCGGCAGGGGGCCTTGCCCTGTCCCACTGCAGCCTCTGCCTCTCATACATCATTTTCTCCTGCACTCGCTCGAACTTGCTTCTCAGAATGTCGTTGTTCACTTTCCGAGGGACATCAGGCACAAACCAGGCAGCAATGAACTTGATGCACAAGGCCACATGCTGGGGATCAGGGGTCAGGGGTCAAGAGAGGCCTGACGAGAGGTCAGGACTGAGCAGGGATCTTAGGGCTTGGGGTCAGGGAAGAGGGCTCCATAGACAGCTGCCCCATCCCCAAGGCCCCTGCCCCGGGTACTGGCCCACCTCGAAGAGGATGAGGAAGGCCAGACGGATGGCCAGGAGGAACCAGAACTGCTCTGAGAGGTTATAGTCATTAGCATTGCGGTAGTCCCGGTACCTAGAGGTGGGGAGGAATTGGGGTCAGGAGTCAGAAGTTCAAGGGGGGTCGGGGCATGCGGGAAGGCCTCCAACCTGCAGTGGGTCACGTTCTCCCAGCCCTCTTTCTGCAGGGGGTCCTCGAAGTCCTTGATATAGAACACGGACAGGCTGTGGTTGACGTAGTGTGTGAGGCAGCTGGGGGCACAAGGTGCATGAGGGCTGCAGGGCCCTGGGCAGGGGCTGCTCCCAGGCAGCGTCAGCCCCTTTGAGCCCCTGCTCTGCTTTTGTGCAAGGGTCCCTAACCCTTAGCCCAGTTCTGAGGGGGCAGTTGGGGCCCCATTCCCTGCATGGAAGACACCCTACTGAGCCAAACACTGCTCCACACCTAGGGCAACCTGGGGACAATGAAGGCTGCCTTCCCATTCCTGGGGGTGACTGTGTGGGTGGGGCCTCCCCTGGGAGAACTGGTCTGCAGGTACAGGGCCCTTGAGGCTGGCTGAGGACCCCACAAGGGTCTAACTGAGGTGGGGAACAGTGCTGGAAATGCCTGCTCAGGAAGCACTGGGTCAGGTCTGGGACCTGAACCCCCACCTCCAGGATCCCAGGCAGTTCACCCAGCCTCCAGCCTCACTACCAGCCCCAGGTACCCTGGCCAGCACCAAGGATTCCCTCAGAGAGGCCCAGGGAGTCCCCCAGGCAGGCTTCTTACTCCACTGTAGGGTGGGCTTCCCGACTGCATGGGCCATAGCGGTACTTGTAGACCTCTCGGGGGATGAACTCAGATGTGAAGGCAATGACTAGCCCGTTTGCAATGACCGCCAGCACACCAATAGTCTCCAGCACCTGCAGCCACGTCCCTGGACCAGAGTGGTGGGGTGAGGGGCTCTGGCTCCCCTCTCCACCCTGCCCCAGACTGGGAGCCTGAGGCACCCCTCAGGCCAAGACCAACACAGGGCACATGGGCCAGGGTAGGAAGCTCCCAGCCAAGACCAGTGGCTCTGGCTCTACTGTGCCACCCCACCCCCATCCCCGGTCCTCCTCACCATCATGCACAGGGAGGGGCTCCATCTCCCCATCTTCCATGCAAACTCCTCAGTGGCCCCTGAGCCTGCTCCACCTCCTGGTCCCCACTGCATGGCAGGGACCCTTCACCTGGACCCAAGCCCCAGGACATCCCTCGCGCCTCTATGGTCTCCACACATCTACCACGCCAACCTCTCTACTCATGCCTAACACCTGTCTGGCTAGTCACCTCCTCCATTCTTGCCCCCAGCTTCCGGACATCTCCCAGCTCTTTCTCTGGGCCCCTCTTGGGCCAGCAAGGACTTCAGCCCCCTCTTAGTGACAGGTGAGTGGGACCTGCCATGTCTCCTCAGCCCTGCCTCTTCTTGGGAACAGCTCACTGCAGGCTCATAGCCTATCCCAGGCTGGGGACCGTCCCTGGAGAGCAGTGGCTTGGCAAGTGGTCATTCAAGGTGCCAGGCCCTGGCTGAGGGGGAGTGCCCAGGTGCGAGTCGCCCTGCTCCAGCACCCCGCCCCATCTGCGAGGTCCCCTTGCCCTCCCCTCCCCCTCACCAATGTCCTTGGCCTTGCGTGGTACAAGGCGCCGCCGAAGCCGGACCATCTTGATGGCATCCAGGCGGATCTCCACGAGGTTACTGACGAGCGCGAGCAATGGGGCAAGCGGGAAAGCAGCCACAAAGATCGTGGTGAAGCCATACTGCATCACTGCGGGGACAGAGACGGTCCCTCAACACACCCCCACCCTCCCACTGGGCTGGGGAGGACGCCCCGCCCCGGGCCCCGCCCACACACTGCATGGACGCGACGCCCCGCCCCGGCCCCGCCCACACGCACTCATCTCCATGTACTCATCGAACAGGCTGAAGACATTGACCGAGCTCAGGAGGTAGTTTCGCTGCCAGTCCCTCAGCTCGGGCTCTGAGGAAGCTGGACGGTACTTGCACGACCGCCACTTGTTGTGCAGCCACCTGGCGGCGACAGGGCTACGTGGGAGTGGGGACGGGGGACAGGGGCAGCGGGGAGGTGGGAGGGAGAGGAGGGGGTGGCTGCCGGGAGATGTGGACCCTCCCGCGGTCATTGGGGGGGAGGGGTTCCTCACGGGCCCAGGTACTCCACGAAGTTGCTCAGCGTTTGTTTGAGAACCATAATAACGGCCATCTGCACGAACAGGTCCATCATACAGCCGCTGGCGTGGCACTGGGGACAAGGGAGGGGAAGTCGGAGAGGGCGTGAGGCCAGGGAGGAGGGGCTGGTCAGGGAGGTGGAGGGTTCTGAGAGAGGTGGAGGGGTGTCTGGTGGAGCTGTGTTCCCCGGCATAGCTGCAGTCAAGCAACTGCACACCCCCAAAGTCTCGCCTTGGCTGTTGGTCCGTCCCCTCCCCTGACCCCACTCAAGTCTCCCCTGGGGCTGCACAAAGTTCTTTCCTGAGTGTGGCTGCTGCAGCCCGTGCTTTGCTACTCCTGTGTCACCACACACACTGAGGATGGCACTTGAGGGGGGACTGATGTCTTGGGGGGGCACACAGTGTCACCTCAACGACAGACTCACCTCCTCCAGTTTCCACAAACCCGCAAGTCGCACGGACTTCCCAGGGTGACCGTTGATCCTGGGGAGGAAAGGAAGGCGTGGGAGGAGGGGGGCAGGATCTAATGGGGTGCGGGGAGAGGCAGCAGGAACACCACAGGGTGGAAGGGTGGAGAGAGGGCAGGGCAGCAGTGAGGCCAACACTCTTAGCCCAGAACCCATCCCGCCACACGTGCTCACAGTCTTCACACTCACTCACAGGTATGTGCCACTGCACACACCCCCGACACGCCCACGTGCTCAGCTGCACACCCTAGAGAAGGCTGCTCCCTGCCCCACAGAAGTGTGCAAACAGAGAGACTTTATTTATTTATTTATTTATTTATTGTGATTTGGGTGAAAGTTTACAGAGCAAATTCAGTTTCCATACAGCAGTTCACACACACGTTGTCTCATGACATTGCCTACAATTGGCCTCAATGCAACAGCTCCCCTCCCGCTTCCTCCCGACAGTCACCTCTTCCCTGTGTCCATCCCTCCGTGCACTCCTGCCCCCTGAGCTGTCTCCCTCTGCATAAACAGACCTTCTTTCTCCCATGATTGTTCTCTCCAAGGAGTGTATCTACCTCAGGTAAATGTTCAACTCATATGCCTGTCTTTTGTTTGGCTGGAAGCCACCAGTGTGGGTTCAGTTCTAGACCTGAGGGGCAGCTAGGGACCATAGTTCAGGGGTCCAACCAGGCTCTATCAGACCAGCAAACCTGGTCCCCTTCTTTTTTTTTTTTTTTTTTTTTTTTTTTCTTTCAAATGATTCTGAGTTTTGTTCTACATTGTTCTCCCTCTCTATCCAGGATCTCCTACATAGATCCACCTCCTAGTGAGTTACCTTATTTTTAAATTCACTGTTTAAATCATAACGTGATTATAAATACTTAAACTGTCTTAAGCAAAGGTTCTGCTCCTGTTCGGTGCCCCACTATTACCGTTCACAACAGGTACTGCTAAACACAGCTGTGGAGCCACTTGCACATAGACAGGAAATTGGAAAGGATAAGTCAATGAAGGAAAATGATCATCTAGGAGTTATGGTTACAAACCCAGAAGACCAAAATTAAACTGCTCAGGGCAGATACAAAACAATCATCGAGTCAGACTCACTTCTGTGTATGCCACAAGAACTGAGGACAGGCACAGACAACAGCCCAAAGACAAAGTAACTGGCATGAAATTCACAAGACATCTGTAGGACCAATAAGAAATAAACTATAAAACTACTACCCAACACAAAGGACTTGCCCGGGGACAAAGTTCAGAAGGCAGGAAGGGTTAGCTAAGTAGAAGGACAAGAAACGGGAGGAAGTGGGAGGAGTGCGGCCACGCTGAGCGACTGCAGTCAGTGACATGAAACAGAATGAGTGCAGATTGTGGAATAGAAAACAGATTTGCTGTAAGCTTTCACCCAAATCACAACAAAAAGTTTAAAAAATAAAAATGAAAAAGGAGAGGACTTGAATAGAATAACTGTTCACAGGGAGTAGACCAGGCTAGTATCTGTGGCTAGCAGAATAATGACCCCAAAGCTGCCACGTCTAATCCTGGAAGCAATGGATCAGTTACCTTCCTTGGCACGGGGGAGTTAAGGCTGCAGGTGGGATTGAGGCGGAGATTGCTAATCAGCTGACCTTGAGAAAATAACTCACTGCCATCGAGTTATTCCAACTAATAGCAATCCTATAGGACAAAGGAGGACTGTGCCATGGGGTTTCTGAGGCTGTAAGTCTTTATGGAAGCAGACTGCCTCACCTTTCTCATGCATAGCAGCTGGTGTGGGTTCAAACTTCTCACCTTTTGGTTAACAGCTGTATACTTTGACCACTGTGCCACCAGAGCTCCTTAAGTCATCACAAGGGTCCTTGAAGTGCGAACAGGCGGCAGAAGAGGGAGAACCAGAGGGACAGCAGCCAGATCTTGCTGGCGCTGAAGATGCAGGGAGGGGCGTGAGGGAGGAAGATGGTGGCCTCTGGGGGCTGGGGTGGGGGCAGGAGACACGTTCTTCCCAAAGCCTCCAGAAGGAGGACAGCCTGCCTACAGCTCTATTTTAGCCCAGTGGGGTCCGAATTGCACCCCCAGAACTGTAACATAACAAATTTATGTTACTGCCACATATGTGGTCATTTGTTTCAGCAGCCATAGAAAACCAACACAGTACCCATGTCAATTCTCCCCAAAATAACTAGTCATTTTACTGCAGCCTTAAATGAAATTCCACAGAATTTGGGGGGAGTGTGACAAAATGATTCTTTAGTTCACTTGTTGTTACGTGCCGTCAAGTCAGACCCGACTCATAGGCAGTATCACTACGGAAGTAGATTGCCCCATCTTCCTTCTGAGAAGTGGCTGATGGGTTTGAACCGCCAGCCTTCTGGTTAGCAGCCAAGTGCCTTAGGCGCTATGCTACCAGAGCTCCCTTAGTTCACTTAGAATAAACCAAAAACTAAACCCTCTGCTGTCAAGGTGCTTCTGACCCACGGCACCCCTAGAGGACAGAGTGGAACTGCCTCAGAGGGTTTCCAAGGCTGTCAATCTTTAGGAAAGAAGACTGCCTCATCTTTCTCCCACGGAGCAGCTGGTGGGTTCCAACCACCTTTCTGTTAGCAGCTGGGTACTCTGTATCACCAAGTCCCCTTAACAAGCAGTCAGAAAACCCAAACTCACTGCCATCATGTTGCTTCCGACTTACAGTGACCCCTACTGGGTTTCCGAGGCTGTTACTCTTTATGGAAGGAGATTGTCCCATCTTCCTTCCAAGGAGAGAATGGTGGGTTTGAACCACCAGCCTTCTGGTTAGCAGTCAAGTGCCTTAGGCACTATGCCACCAGAGCTCCCTTAATGAACCATATTTAGCCCTATTTGACAGCAAAACATAAAGCAATAATAATTAACACTGGGAAGTACTAGCCTTAGAATTGCTAGAATCCGTGGTTAAAGCCAAACAATAGGAACAAACAATGGAGTTTAGAAGATGACAAAGAAGGTGTTTCAGAGTGAGGTGAGGGGTGGGTTAGTCCACAGATGGTTTAGGGATGACTGGGTGCCGTTTGAAAACCAGTGCAACAGGCCTCTCCCTCACCCCTTTCGACAAAACAAATTCCTTGTGAACCAAAGATTCGAATGTTTGGTTTTGAAACCTTACACGCCTATAAAGGGACTAGAAACACAAGAGAGTAACTGCTCCTCTGTAGAACCAACTGTAGGAGACCAAAAGGGCAGCATCTGGCCACAAACAGCTCAGAGCAGGAAGGGACCTGAAAGAACAGAAGGATCAAAGGAAAGGGAGGGAGGGAACCCAGGGAGGAAGTGGGGAGAGGACTGTTACATTGAGGGAGTTGCAACCAATGCCACCAAACGAAAGCTGAATAAATTGTTGAATTGGAAAGTAATTTGCTCTGTAAACTTTCACCCAGACTATCATTAAAAAATTGATTAATTTTAAAAGATAAAATTTTAAAATCATAGCATCTAAAAGAAGTCTTGGCCACGTGTGAGTGCACATGAATGTGTGTGAAGCTCAAACAGAAAGAGTTCAAACATCCATCTGCCAACAGGCTGGTGAGGGGAGCCAGGTGAGGGGAGCCATGGGACGCCTCCTACCCAGGAAGGCTGGGGACCTGGTTTTACAAACAAGACGTCCCCCACCATGCAGACCTGGGTCATGTCTGAGTAAATGTTCAGTGTGAAAAGCAGATAGTTACTTATGGGGCAAGACCACTGAAGGCAGTAAGATGGGAGTGGACAGAACAGCTGGAAGGCCCACCAATGTGCTCCTGGGGTCCCCTCGGGGGTTGGCTTTGGAGAGGTGGATGCTCGCACATTTCTGTGCTGTGCTTGTTCTGAGTGAGAATTACTTGAAAAATTAAAAAGCACGGGTATGTATGTTTTTGAAACGGAAAGCTGAGATAGAAGGGACGTAGTCCCTGGCCTCCAGCCCTGCCCATGCCCTACCTGCCCAGGATGAATGCGATGTATATGAGGGAGGAGAAATGGGCAAAGAACTGGAGCGTGAAGAACTTGACTGTGAACTTGCTCTCTCGCTCTGATAAGGTCCTGGGCTTCTCTGGAAGGAGACATGGGCTGGTCCCCAGCTCGGCCACTCCCTCCTATTCCAGAGGACTGTCCCATCTGCCAACTGGGGACACCAACAGCCCTCACTGCTCTCCTACAGGTGACCCTCCAGCCTTGCACTGAGTCTCAGCCTGGAGCAGGGACCAGGGGACCATGTGGGGTGGGAGGGACACTGGGGACAGCAGAAAAGGCCTCCGCCCACCAGGATCACAGCTCTCAAACTCTAGCCCAGGATCTTTCAAGAAGCCGGAGAGGCACTGGGGCCAGGGCACAGTGGCCCTTCTCTTACCATAGTCACAAAGCTTCAGGGCCACTCTCCTGTTGACCTGTGGGGGTTGGGGTGCAGAGGACAGAGCTCACCCTGGGCCGTGGATGGAGACCTCACCTTCCCATGCCCTCTCATGCCCTCTCCCATCCGCCGCCACCTTCCTCTGTCCCCCTCCCCTCTCCCCACCCTCTCCACCCTCCCTACCTTCCCTTGTCCTCCCCCATGCCTTCTCCCAGCTCTCCCCTGGCCTCCCACCTTGGTTATGACCACAATGGCCACATAGTGTACAAGGGCCCCAGATGCCACCACAGCTGTGGTCACCTGCCCCTTCAGGAAGGGTGAGTCCCAGAGACTAAAGAGGGCAGCGGCCAGGAGGCGGTAGATGACCAGGAGATGGGCCACGCCGATCATGAAGCAGATCTGGGGGGCGGGGGCAGACAGTGAGGGAGGCAGGCAGCAGACAGGCGGGCAGTGAGAGGCCCTGGAGAGAAGGGGCTGCCGCCACCCAGGCTCCCCACAAATACCATGAGCAGAGACAGGGCAAGGATGACGGTGCTGCGTAGGTAGGAGTGTTCGTGGCTCTTGGGCTGGTACTGGGGACAGTTAATCAGCTCCTGCGTCATCTCCTCCTGGGGGCAGACACCACACACACAGCGCAGGTGTGGTACACATTCCTCAGACATGGTACACACACCTCAGAAACAACATACATGCCTCAGACATGCACACACCCCTCAGACATGGCACACACAGACACAAACACACAGAACTCAGATGTGGTATGCACATTTCAGACACAGCACACATGCCTCAGATACAACACACATGCCTCAGACATGCACACACATAGACACACACACACAGCTCAGATGTGGTCTATAAACCTCAGACACAGCACACACCCCTCAGACACAGCACACACCCCTCAGACATGCACACACACAGACATACACACATAGAGCTCAGATATGGTATATACATCTCAGACACATACACATGCCTCAGACACAGCACACACCTCAGGCACGCACACACACAGACATACAGCTCAGGTGTGGTATGCACACCTCAGACACATACACACATTCCTCAGATACACACACATGCCTCAGACACACAGACACACATACAAACAGCTCAGATATGGTATGCACACCTCAGACACGTACACACCCCTCAGACACAGCACACACACCTCAGATCTGACACACATGCCTCAGACACAGGACACACCACTCAGACACACAAACACATGCACACACACAGATCAGATGTGTTATACACACCTCAGATACAAACACACACCCAGACACAGCACACACACTTCAGACATGTACATACCCCTCAGACACGCACACATGCCTCAGATATGGCACATACACATACACACACAGCTCAGATGTGGTATACACCCCTCAGACATGCACACACCCTTCAGACACGGCACACTCACAGGCATAAACACACAGCTCGGATGTGGTATACAAACCTCAGAGACACAAACCCCTCAGACACAGCACACACACACACAGCTCAGATGTGGTACATACCCCAGACATGGTACACACACAGACACACACACACAGCTCAGATGTTGTATACATACCTCAGGCATGGCATACATGCCTCAGACATGCACACATCCCTTAGACATGGTACACACGCCTCAGACACAGCACACATGTCTCAGCACTGCACACACACCTCAGACATGGCAGGCACAGGTGTTGGTCAGGAGCACTGGACTTAGGCACAGCCCACTGAATACCCTACTGACCTCATCCTCATCCCAGCCATACAGGTGCCAGTCCTGGACCACACGGGCACGCTGCCTCTTCCAGACCTCCAGGAACACCGTGGCTGCCACCAGGGAGCAAAAAAATGGCTTCATGATTGTCCCTCAGGCTGGGCAGGGGCCCCACAGCCCCCAAGGGTCCTGAGGGCTAGCAGTGACTCACCCCACACCGCCATGAAGATGGCAAAGAACACCGTGGCTTCATTGTCAAAGAGGTGGGTGAGCTGGGGAGACGGATGGGTGGGCTGGCAGCTGTCCTTGCCCCCACACCCTGGGTGGAAAGGGCCCCAGGGCATTCTGGCAAGCTCCGTAGGCTCCCTGCCTTGGGTTTCCCCTTTCAGTGGATGCAGCAGAGCCCTGGAGTGAACCCCAGTGCTGACCAACCTTGGCAAAGGTGCAGGTATCTGAAAGTCGTTGGTTCATGTGGAGGTGGTCTCCACGAGGACACATGAAGATATCATGGGCCTCACAGATCTCCTTGCTAGGTGGGGGTATGAGGGCAGGGTTGGTGCAGGGCTTCCCTGATGTAGGAAGTCCCTAGACCCCCAGCTTCCTACCCCCACTCCTCAAGCCCCACCTGGCGCCCTAACCCTTGACCCTCTGCCCCCAGCTGCTGACCCCCACCTCCCTGGTCCCCTGCTCCTGGCCCCTGGTTCTCAGGCCCCCAGCCACTGTCCCTGGCTCCACCCAGTCCCAGCCCCCAGATCCCCACCTTGCAGCCCCAGCCCACCTGATCTGGCTGGTGTTGAAGCAGGTGAGGCCACTCAGGAAGACAATGAGGCCCATCAAAGCAGCAGGCACCAGCATGTAGGTGTACCAGCCAAGCCAGGCGAAGTACAGCGCCACCTTCTCACCAAAGTAGTTCCTGTAGCACAGCTGTTACCTATCAGGGCCCACCCCCAGTGGGGGGAGCTCATCACAGGAGAGGAGCATAGCACTGGGGAGGGGCATGTCTACCTGTAGAGCTCAAGGAGAGCTATACTGAGAGCAGAAGTCTGTCTAAATGGGGACACAAGTGTGTCAATGTGGGCACAGGTGTGTCCGTGGAGCGGGTGTTCTGTGGGTCAGGGGTGGTCTGTGGGGACAGGTGGTCTGTGGGGACAGGTGGTCTGTGGAGCAGGGGCATTCTGTGAGGATGGGTGGTCTGTGGGGACGGGTGGCCTGTGGGGATGGGTGGTCTGTGGGGATGGGTGGTCTGTGGGGAGGGGCGGGGCAGCGGTGGTCTATGGGGATGGGTGGTCTGTGCGGCAGGGGTGGTTTGTGGGGATGGGTGGTCTGTGGGGCAGGGGTGGCCTGTGGGGTGGGGGTGGTCTGTGGGGACAGGTAGTCTGTGGGGGTGGTCCTACCTGATATCATCAATTGGCTGATTGTTGAATATGTTTCTCCACTGGGCCCATGTCATCAGCTTTTTGTCCCTCTTGGTCAGTGGTGAGTACATCCTGTCTCCAGGTCCCGCTCCAGGCCCCTCCCAGATGCCAGCCCTCAGTGTGTGCAGGAAAAACCCCGTCTCAAAGACCTGGTCCTTCTTCAAGTCCTTGAAGGTCTCTGGGGGTCACAGGGAGTCCACGGGTCTAAACACAGTCCCCCCCCCCGACCTTGCCCCTGTGGGTGGCCCCATCATTCCCCAGCTGGGAGGCCCCTTCTTACCCCCATCTGTCGTCTTGTTGTTCCAGATGAAGGTGTGGATGATTCGGATACTGAAACACAGGCCCCGGCTCAGGCCACCAGTACACCCTGAGTGGACACCACCCTCCAGGTCCCAGGTGCCTCCCCATCCTGTCAGGACCCTCCACCTGCCTGTCCCTGCACTCTGGCCTGCCCTGTGCCCCTGCTCAGACCCACACCCAGAAGCCAGGACTGGCCTCAGGGTGCCCCCCACCCCACCCCAGCCATCCCTGGCCCTGCTCGCCCTGCCCACGGGCCCCACATGAGGCCTGGTGTTCTCTCAGCCCTCTCCCCAGTCACACAGCTCCCATGGATCTTGTGTCCAGGGAAGGAGCCTGGCAGGAAGGAAGGCTGGGGAAGGTACCTCTTAGCCCCTCCGAATCCTGCCCACCCTTGCAGGCCGCCCTGCTGCTCTATTGCCAGGAACCTTGTTATATTTGACCTGCAGAACCACACCCCAGAGGCAGGACTCACACTGTCCTCCGTCAAGGAGACACAAGGTGGGGTCTGAGCCTCCACCCTGAGGCCAGCAGGGAGCCTGGCTCCTGGGAACTGGAATGAGGCACCAAATGGGTTGGGGGCGCCCCTCACCGCGTGGTGTCTAGGGTGGGATCCTTCTCAGCCGGCAGGGCCCTGGGCACAGGACCCTCAGGCTCCAGGAGAAGTCTGCAGTACGGTAGGAAGACCTCACTCTTGGCTCGGATCCCAAAGTATCTCTTATGCTGGTCCGTCATCTCCTAGGGGGGCCATGGGAGACGCTCAACTTATCTCGGGACCCCCCCCCAGCTGCCAGCCCAGCCACTCCAGCAGACAGTGGACAGCGGCTCTCCAGGCCCCGCTCCCTGGCCCCCTGCCTGCCCCCGTCCCCCCCACACCGAGGCCCTCGCCACCCCACCTTGCACCAGAAGCCCTTTTTCTCCAACTCCTGCAGGAACTGCTGTTGCTGGTGGCGCTGCTTGGGGTTCTGGTCACGTTTGGCCACAAAGACATAGTCCCAGTGTTCTGTGGCCTTGGTGTGGCAGAAGGGGTTCTGGGGTCCAGCAGCAGGGCCAGGGGGGACAGGGCAGGGGCAGTGTGACCAGGAAGAGCCGGAGGGTCCGGGTGCAGAGGGGTCTGTCTGGGTCCGAGTGAGACTCTCCTCACAAGAGTGGATCGTTATCAGTGGGATGCCGTCTTCCTCTGAGGCTGTCAGACTGTCTTTACCCTGGGTGGGGGGTAGATGGAGCTGTGGGAAGCCTGCAGATGGGTGGGCAAGCTAGTCCCTTGGCCCCTTCCTGCTAGGGACAGACCGGGTTAAGACACACCCGGAGCCCCCCTAAAACTGGGGCAAGGTCGTTAGAGTAAACAAACCTTGAGATCATCCCAGGCAGAGGGGTGCTGGGAGGGCAATAAACAGGGTTGTTGCCCCGCAGAGGTGGCTGGGGCCACAACAGGAGAGACCTAGCCGGGTCTGCATCTGAGAGGGTCGAGAGACACTGCAGCCCCAAAAGCAAACCAGCAGCCCTGTTACAAACGGGAAGGCGTCGCGGCTCACAGAGCAGGGCCACGGAGGGGACCAGGAGCCGCCGCGCACACCGCGCCCTGACAGGGGTTGGGAGGGTCCGTAGATGCTGATGTTGTGGGTGGCGGGTCGGGGAACGAGCTTGGAGGTCATCGGGCGCGACATTTGGAATGGAACCGCCCCTGAGACCCAGCGACGCCAGCAGGCACCGACCGACAAGGCTGCTGGTCAAGTGTAAAGACCGGGAATAACCCAGTGCCCGGATAACCCGCATTCGCCTAGACGGGCCGATAGCCAAGACCCGGGCTCCGGCAGTGCGCAAGGGTACCGCGCGCTCGCGGCGCCAGGCCTCCGGGCCGCCAGGGGCCGCACCGCAGGGAGGAACCGGCCGCCGGCCAGTCGCCACCTGCTTGTCGATTACACATTATGCAAAACCCGCCTGGATCCTAGGATGGAGGTCAGCGTCACCCATGATGTTTGGGTGTCCTGGCCCCCCTCCCCCTGGGATTCCTTTCAAAGCCGCCGCAGCAGCCGCCAGACCTGGGTAAACATCGACAGAACCAAACGGAGGGGCCTGATCTGAGGACCAGGGAGGCACAGGACGTCAGGGGCCAGGGACCAGAGAGTCGCAACGACTGAATGCTCTGTGTGGTCCTGGGAGGATCTCCCTTAAATCGGCCCTCCCAGCGGCTGCTCCTGTAGTTTGACCACATCTGTAAGTTTGCCTTAAAATACTCTTTTACAGATGTGCTCAAACTGCATCACAAGGAAAGGAGGAATTGGTGGCTTCGTGGCCGGTGTCCCACGTTCCCAGGGTGCATGGGGGATTCACAGGGCTTCTGTCAGTGTGTGTGGGGGTCACAGAACTCCGAGGTCTGAGGGGTGAGCAGGGGCTGCTCTGGGAACCTTTGGGTGAAGGGGACTGGGGCGAGACAAGGACAGGCAGGGCAGTAGCCTAGGGAGAGACAGGGTCCCTGCAGCATGGGCAGCAGGATCACAGGTGACACTCTGGGGGCTATGCCAATAGGGGAGCCCTGCCCACCCTCACCCCAGTACCCTCAGCCAAAGTGGAGGTGCCTCCTGGACTGGACCAGGACGTTTTGATGCCTGTCCCCCCTCCTCCACCTCACACACTAAGGTCCCTAGTCCCATCCCAGTTCAGGAACCTCCAGTCTCGGCTGAGATTGTCTCTGGCTGCCTCACAGCCTCTCAGTCAGCCATCTTTGCTCCTGCTACTCCTCCTGCTCCTTCCCCAACCAGCTCGCACTTGACTGCTTCAGACATCCCTCCCTCGAGTGCTGCCCAGTAACATGGGGGCCACCCAGTCTCACCTGATTTCAGATAGCAACACACACTTAGCAGCAGTGTGGCCAATGACTGCACAGGACAGATCTATGCTAAGCAAGGTTTGTCCTTATTTATCTGAAATTCAAAATTCAAGTTCACTGGGTGTCCTGTGGGCTTTTTTGTTTTTTGTTTTTAAATCCAGCATCCTTACTCCAACTTCCTCCCGCCTCCCACCCACACACCAGGATTGAATGGCTCCAGGCCTCTGCAACCCCAGCACACCCAGGCCGGTCTCAACCACAGAATCCTCAAACACAGCCAAAGAAAACCAGTCTGGAAGGCTTCAGAAGCCTGGCCACTGCACAAACTGGGTAATTGGCCCTCTGAACCCCAACCTTTGCGAGTGGCAGTTCTCTTCCTGAAGTCAGGCACCCTTCCAGGCAGTGCTGCCCCTCCTGCCTCCAGACATCCTGGACGTTCCAGGGCCTCCCGCCAACAGCCCACAGACCTACAGATGCTTGCACTCAGGTGTGGCGGGTACCCGTAACTACTTGCTCATCTTTGTCAGGAAGAAGCCTACAGCTCACGGACAGATCTTCAGTGAGATCCAGGTCAGGGAGGGGCACCCACACCTGACGCACCCCTGGCACTGCTGGGAAGTCCCCCAGAGGGGACTGGGTGGTGTGAGGGACATTCACACCATCTACACCTAAGCCCTGACAATCCTGACGCACACCTTTCCTGACTTAAAACCATGCAGCACCCCCTTTCTCTGTCTGAATGACTGCCCCTTGGTCCATGTACATGTTCCTCGTAGATGAGGGTTGTATTCTTTCACATCCTCATCCAAGCTAAGTGTCTTAGGCTAGAGAAGCAAAACCAATGAAACTTACAGAGAGAAAGAGAAATTGATCTTAAGGAAATAGCTCACACAGTTGTAAACTCTGGCAAGTCCCAAGTCCATGGGTCAAACATTGAGCTGGCGGTGTCTCCCAACTCACGCCACTGCAGGGGCTGACGAACCCAAGACTGGCAGGCAAGACAGCAGACTACTGCTGGCTACAGAGGCTGATGAGAGCAAGATCAGCCACCCACCCTGAGAGGCATTAGTCTACCCCAAAAGCATGGGCAGCTGGGCAGGGACACCCTCCCCCCAGTGAAGCTACAGGCACCCACCTGGCAGCTGTCCTGCTGATCTTGCATTTGGCAGGGGTGGTAGTTATGTTTGTCTGTCAACTTGGCTGGGCCTGGTTGAGTGGCTGGGCAGCTGGTGGTAGTTATTCCCCATGATGAGACTGGCAATCAGCTCCATGGTGGGATCTACCACAAGCAGTTGAGTAGCCGCCTTTGGGAATGTGGTCTGCTTCCTGTATTTAAGTAGACACATTGGGAATGGTCTCCAGCCTATGGCACGCTTGGACCCTGCATATAGCTGTGTCATTGCTCAGCAGCCTGCTATGCTCTGCCGACCTTGGGGCTTATAATGGACTTAAGTTAATGGCCTGCCATGTGGTTTGGTAACATCAGGACTGTGCCTCTTTACTTGTCAACCTTGGGCTTCTCAGCCTCAGCAGCCAGCAGCTACCTGAGTGAAGAGAAGCCTCCAGCTCCAGTGGGCCGGGAGCAGGAGGCAGAGCTGGGCCCCAAGGTTGAGGGGCTTTCACTCAGCCCCTAGAGCCTGGCACTTTGAACTTGGACTTAAAGCCTCCAAATTGTAAGAATAAACTCCTGTTTGTTAAGGCCTCCCATTGGTGGTGTATTCCTGTCAGAGAGGCACTAGGGAACTGGAACACCATCCCATTTGTGGTGTATTTCTCATCAGAGTGGCACTGGGGAACCAGGACAGCAGGTAAAACGACAGATTGTTGGCTCACAGGGTGTGATGGTAAAAATCCCAAGATCAGCAGGCAACACAGCAGGCCGCTAAGTCCAGGAACCAGAGATGGTGATGATCCAGATCCGGCAAAAAGCCAGAGCTTTCCATTATTTCCTGGAAGCAGGCCACACCCCAAAGGCAAGTCACTTGCAATGGACTGACCGCTCATGGCAGATCTCAGCAGGCGGGATGACCGCATCATAACTGCTAAACCACTTAGAGTTATGGCCCAGCCAAGCACAATCTTAGCCATCACACTGAGCAAATAATCCGAGAAGCTGGACTTTATGAGGAATATCATGGCATCAGGCTTGGAGGAAGACTCATTAATCACCTGTGATATGCAGATGATACAAGCTCGCTTGCTGAGAGTGAAGATGACTTGAAGCACTTACTGATGAAGATCAAAGAATACAGCCTCCAGTATGGATTATACCTCAAAATAATGAAAGCAAAAATCCTCATAACTGAACCAGTAAGCAACATCACCATAAATGGAGAAAAGATTGAAACTGTCAAGGATTTCATTTACCTGGATCCACAATCAACACCCATGGAACCAGCAGTCAAGAAACCAAATGACTCATAGCATTGGGCAAATCTGCTGCAAAAGGTCTCTTTAAGTGTTAAAGAACAAAGATGTCGCTTTGAAGACTAAGGTGCACCTGACCCAAGCCACGGTATTTTCAATAGCCCCACATGCATGGGAGAGCTGGACAATGAATAAGGAAGACCAAAGAAGAGCAGATGCATTGAATGATGGTGTTGGTGAAGAATATTGAAAGTACCCAGAAGAATGGACAAATCTGTCCTGGAAGAAGTGCAGCTGGAATGCTCCTTGGAAGCGGGAATGGTCAGACTTCATCTCACCAACTTTGGTCATGTTGTCTGAAGGGACCATTCCCTGGAGAAGGATATCATGCTTGGTAAAGTGGAGGGTCGATGAGAACAGGGAAGACTCTCAATGAGGTGGATGGACACGGTGGCTGTGACAGTGGGCTCAAACACAGCAACGACGTGAGGGCGGCGCAGAACCAGGCCCCGTTTCCTTCTGCTGCACATGGGGCGCTACGAGTCAGAACCGACTCAGCAGCACCTGAAAACACCACCACATTCCAAGCCCTGGCCACCGGGAGGCTCGCGAGATACGATATTGCCTGAGTTAATGGGTTAAATTGACCCTCCGACTGATGAGACATGCTGCACCTCAGACCCTGGAGGGGCCCTCCAGCCTCCCCTTCCCATGCTGCAGAAACTGGGCGAAAATACCCCCCACAGTGAACACAGGCAGCAGCTGAGACAAGCAGGGGTGGGGGCCAGGAGCCAGGGCGGGCGCACACCAGCAGGGCCCAGACTGCTCAGGCCTTTGGGATGATGGTGACAGAGGAGGGGGCTTGGGAAGAAGGGCTGTCCCGGGAAAACCCCAAGGGTGGAGGTGGGGCCGCCTCTCAGCTGGCTGCAGTGAAAGACCCGGCCTCCACCAATGACACGCTGCTGCTTTGGGACAATCACTCGGCCCATTAGACCTCGTGGTGGCCGGCCTGTATTCTGTGCCAGGGAGGTGCCACCCAGGTGCCTGTCAGGCACTAGCCTATACCAAAAGCATGGGCAGCTGGGCAGGGGCACCCTCCCCCCAGTGAAGCTAGAGGCACCCACCTGGGGGCTGTCCTGTCACCACCTGTCCTTTGCTGCCCAGTACCACATGAACAGCTGGGTCCAAGTCTCCACATCCCAGTGTCTCTCCATTGCCCTCAGCCAGACAGGCACCAACTTCGAAGGACCCCCTGTGCCCGCACCCCCTCCTTGGACTATCCTGGCCAAGGTCAGGCTGTCTGTCCATCTGTCCTTCAAGGCCATAGCCCCACACCTCAGCTGGTCCCTGGCCTGCTACCCAAGGGATCCATCTTCTGGATGTGGCCCTTGGTGTCTTCATGGGGAAGAGGGGGTTCTCCCCAAGGTTGTCCCACTTCACAGACAAGCAGACTACACACTGCACCTGAAATGGGTGCCTGCGCCCCCACTGCCCGGATGCCCCCCACTATCTCCCTCATTCCAGACAACTGAGTGGCTGAGGGACCCTTGTTTGGGCCTGGGCCCCCCTCCAGAAAGCTCTGTGTGTGTGTGTGTGTGTGTGTGCGCGTGCACTGGGGACACTGGGCTCCTGGACCAGTGTCCGGGTGGGGATGACTCTGGCTGCTGAAAGGAGAGTAGAAGATGGGCCTGTGGAGACCGTGCATGGTGAGTGGGCTAAGTGGCTGGAGGGACTGGCGTCTATTTAGCAGGGGAGGTGGCCTGGAGCTCAGCCTTCTGGGGCTACAAGTTGCCAGCAGGTGAACAAGTGAGGGCCAGCAGTTCTGACAGAGGGGACGTATGTGGACAGGCCCCAAGGGGCCAGGTGCAATCTGCAGCCGTGCTCAGCACCCAGCACCTCCAAGAATGCAGCAGTGACTATTCCTGGCAACTGAGTATTCAGCACCTGCAAGGACCCAGGGACCCAGTGCTCAGTCCTTCAGCTGAGCTCAGCCCTTCCTTTATGTCAGGAGCATAAAGGGCCAGAGAAGGGAGCTGCCAGGCAGTGAGCCTGGGAGTTTGGCAGAAGCCAGATCGCTGAAGGCTGCTCAGGCTGGCCGGGAAGCTCAGACTTCAGCCAGGAGCAATGGGGAGCCAGAGACAGTATCTGAGCAGGGAAGGGGCACGCTCAGATCCTGCCAGGAGCTGGGACCACCAAGTCTGCCCACTGCCTGCACCTGTCCTTGTCTAAGGGCTGAGTCTGTTACTTCTCAACCCCATGCCATCATGGAGTCTCCCCTCCACTCCCAGCACAGGGCTGGCGTGGGAGGAGGAGACTGCTTGTATGTTGGCCTGAGCGGCCAGGGCTGCAGAGCTGTCTGGAGGGTGAGGCCAACCCTCTCAGCCCACACTCTGGGAGGTGAGTGGGAGCCAGTTTCACTCTCTGCCTCCCTGTGGGCCTCCTCCCTGGTCTCAACCCCAGGTAGCCTCCTCCCTGGCAAAGGACAACTCCAGGGGAGAAAAGATATGCTCCCAGGGCCTTGTCCTCTCCACCCCCCGAAAGCCCCCCCAGCCTCCTGCTCCACTCCCAGAATCAGGGTCCAGCGGCACTCAGCATCCCCTTGGCTAGGGCAGGACCTGAGGGAGTATAGGGTCCTACATCAGCTAGCCACCCTGTGCCCCTGAACCCCAGGCCAGCCCATGGTGGAGTGCTGGGGCACTTGCTCTCAGGGAAGCAGGACAAAGTTGCCCAATGGGAGGGGCCCTGGCAGTAGGGGTCGTGAGCTGGGCACACCCTCCCCTCCCTAGTGAGGAGTCTAGCCCCAGAGCCCCCTCACTGAGAGGGGCTCCCACTGTGCAAAGAGAAGGCATCCCTCCTCTGTCCTGATCCCTAGCTCCCAGCCTGCATGGCCCCAGGGGGCGGCGGCAGCTTGGTTCCACAGTAGCTCTGGGCCCCCTCAGTTGGCCTGGTGGACCGCAGAGCACCCCACCTGCACTTTGTAGATGAGGCTAGTGGGGCACGCTAAAGGGCTGCAGGCAGGGCCGGCGTGTGTGGGCGCCACCAAGGAACCCGGGGGGCTCGCAGAGCCTACCGGGGCGCAGGTGTGGACCCCGCTCAGCGCCGGACTCACCTGCATGCTGGCTGTTCTCAGAGCGCAGGCGGGACCCGCAGTGTGGCTGGAGGGCCACCGGCGTCCTACCTGACTTCCGCATGGGACTTACCAGTCCCTCCCTCTCCTGGTCCGTCCCTCCCGCTCTGCCTGGGTGCAGCCAGGAAGGAGCTGGCGCCCCTGGCCGGGGAAGTCCCTAGCCTCCTAGCAAGTCCTTGAGGGCCTCAGGACCCCTGCGGGGGGCAGGTAGGAGGGAGCTCAGTGTAGGCTGAGGGGCAGGAGGGGCATCCCCCTCCCCACAGAGCCTCCACCCTCCCCACCTGCAGCCTTGAGGTCCCTCACCTGTAAGGTGGGGTTTGACTGACTCCTGGTCCCTGCGTTGCAGTCCCTGAGGCTGAGCTGGGAAAGCAGCTCCAGAGAAGGGCCTTGTCACAGCAGTAACAGCGCCCCAATATCCCCCCTTTCGTAATAGAGCTGCAGAACACCCTCGTGGAATCCAGTCCAGACCCTCCGTCGTCACCCCGGCTGCAGTGTGACGGATTGCTTTTGGATGGCCTTTCTGGCCACGGTCTTGTAACTCTCACCAAGTGACTGGGACAGACTAAGCAAACAAGGTGCTTGTGGGCCACCAAGGGAGTGAATAACTTGCCAATAACACAAATAAGTTGCATGGCACCCATGGGGGGCGTGCAAATAAGAACCCTAATGAGGGGATTGGCCAGTTTTGCCATCCCAGTAGGCTTAAAATGAGACATCCCAGAGGTGGAAAGTGGGGTGGGGGTGGGCAGGGAGCACACACATCACCTGGAGGGGTTCAGGGAGCACCCATGGCATCGGGGGCAGGGGTGGACAGGAAGCACCATGATATCAGAGAGCTTTCAGGGAGTACCCACAGCATCTGGAGGGATAACAGGGATCACCCATCACATCGGAGAGGGATCAGGGAGCACTCACAGCATGGGCAGGCAGAGAGCACACACGGCATCTGGAGGGGTTCAGGGAGCAGCTGCAGCATTAGGGAGCAGGGATACCCATCACATCAGAAGGTACAGGGAGCATTCATGGCACTGGGGGGGAAGAGCACCCACAGAATCTGGGGGGATAACAGGGAACACTCATGACATCAGGGGAGCACCAGCTGCCATCGTTCCGACCAAGGCTGATTCGTTTGCTCTGGGTTCCTGGTGGGTGACGAGGCCACCCCATTTCTGTTCAAGTGACCCCATGTCTGGACTCTGACTGTGGCAGCAACAGAACTGGACTGTGAGGTGATAAAGACAATGGAGGGGACTTGTGGCACAGAACATGGGCAACTCTGATGAAACCCAGTCCACGCGAGAGGGGAGGGTGAGGGGAGGCTGCAACAGGGCCTGAGCAGGTCAGGTTCAGACTGGTGGGAGAGATGAAACCCCAAAGGGTGAGGGTGGTTTAAACACACTCATTCATTCCCCTCTCCCAGGATGAAGTCTGGAGGTGGCTGGCTCAATCTCCAAGGATGAGAACCCCTTTAACTTGTTGCTCTGCCCCCTTTAGCACATGGCCCAAGAGGGCTGCTAGGGCTCCAGGCATCATGTCCACATTCCAGCAGGAAGTAGAAAGGCCACCCCACCCTTAAGGACACCTTCTGCAACTTGCATGTGGCTTTTACACTTTCATCCCACTGACTATCATTCGATCATGTGGCCACACCTTACTGCAAGGAGCGCTGGAAACCGTGGTCTCTTTCCACAGGAGCTCCATGTCCAGATATATTGAGTTTCTGACACTAAGGATACAGGGCACCTGGCAGTCTCGGCTACGGGCCAGAGGGGGGTTCAGGAAACCATCAGCACAGTTTTGAGCACAGGAGTCACCCCAGCTCGTGACGCCCGTCTCACCCAACCCTGGGCTCCCCCTGACAGGTGCTTGCCCCCGCTCCTCTGCGTTTATGTTCTCATAGTTAAAACCATCCCACAGCATGCGGTGGATTTCACCCCAACTCTGTCAATTCACACGTTCACACACCTGCACTTTTTCAACGTCTTTACTCTGCGTTTTCGACTTTACTGCCCTGGAAACGCTGCTCTTTCTTGTTCCCGCCTCCCAGGGCTTTGTTACACCGGGAAACCTAAATCTCACGCAGAGTCCTTGCTGGGAAAGAGCCAGCACAGGCAGCCCTTGGAGTTTCCAGGCTCCGAGGGGGAGCAAAGCACAGGGAAATCTGTGCAACATTTAGGAGCCGGGTGGCAGCAAAGGCCAGTGTCCTTTTCTCCCCTCAAGAGAGAAAGTGGGGACCGTGCTTTCCCCGTGAGGAGCAGAACCCTTAAAATCAATTATGCTTTTCTCTATTAACCTCTCTTCCTGAAAACTGTCCAAGGAAAAATCCAAAATGATAATTTATAGGTGCATAAATCTGCCCTTCCCAGCTAATACTATAATAGCAAAAGTTGTAAACCACCAAGCTGTTCAACAATCGAAAAATGTCTGAAAATGGCATTTGCATATGTGGATGATGTTGCTGTGAGAAATTAAGCTTCCAGGGAGAATGTGAGAACACGGAAACGCTGTTGTTACTGTCCAACGAAAAAGAAGAGGTTACAAAGTGTTGGAGATCCCGCCACCAGTTAGTTAAAGCAACGGGAGAGCAGAGTTAACATTTGCTGTTCAGGTACATTGGACAGGAACTGTGGCTGGTGCAGGATGGGGTGATGCTCCTCCAAATACCTACAACTGAGTCCCTGGGCAACGCACACTGCTGAGCGGTCAACACTAGTCGAAAGGTTTGCATTGGGAACCCACCGAGAGGCACGTCAGAGGACAGGCCTGGCACTCTGCTCCTGAAAGGTCACAGCCTTGAGGACCAGTCTGCTCCCATAGGGTCACCATGACTTGGAGTTGCCTGGACGACAACCAACAACAACAGAACACCAAACACTTCCCTGTCGTGAACGTGAACATGATCTCATTGCACGATGCTCATTGCCAGAAAGGTTCCTCCCTCAGGCTCAGCCTCACTCTTGGGCTTTGCGTTCTTGTGTATCAGGGAGTGCAGCTGCCACATCTGGTGAGGGAACTTTGGTCAAAGTCCATGTAGGCCTCCTGCCCTTCCCCGTGGACCCTGGACCCTGCTGTCCCTCTCCTTCTTCCTCCAATTCCAGGAGGCTCTGCACACCTGACACCTGA